TAGAGGTGTACAGTTGCACAGAAGAAGCTTCATAAATACTGTTATAAGTATTAGAAATCCTTTTTATTTAAGTCAAACTTTATTGTCAATCTTTCAGTTTGTGTGTACAGGCAGAGAGATCGAAATGTCGTTTCCCACAATCCCGAATACAAAAAATACAAATATATATAAAAATATGTATATATATATATATTTACACATATGCACACATTACATAAACAGTCAATATATACAAGATAACACTCACTTCAAAAACTTTGGGAAAAATAATTAACAATTGTTAATAAGTTAAGTAAGGAGGTTTTCTTGTTTACATATTTTGCACTATTTTTGTGATCGCTGAGGAAACGCCATTTTTACTCTTGTTATATTTCTCCCCATCAAAAAGGGGCGTAGCATGTACAGGCTTTTAAAGAACATGAAACAAGTATTTTTAGGTTACATTTCCAAGGAAGCCCATGTCTATTTCTTAGAAGACAGACGCTTCTTATGACTTAAGATCATTACTGATATTGGCCATTGTTCCTGTCCCCTCCTATCAGAGCGTCCTGGTGGAGTCTCCGGTCTCTCTGGCTGTTTCTCCCGGAGTTATCTCCCTTGACCCGTCGATGTCCGAATCCCCGCTCTCCGCCCCGACCTCCATCATCTCTCCGGCAGTCGGGAGGAAAGGAGGCGCCGGAGGGAAGAAGGGGAAGAAGAAGAAAGACCCCAACGAGCCTCAGAAACCCGTGTCGGCCTACGCTCTGTTCTTCAAGGACACTCAGGCCGCTATCAAAGGACAAAACCCCAACGCTACCTTTGGAGAAGTCTCTAAGATAGTGGCGTCCATGTGGGACAGTCTGGGGGAGGAGCAGAAACAGGTGAGAGGGGGAGGAGGAAACTTTAAATCATGCTTATAGACATTTCATTAACCCATCAGGCCAATCTTCTTTCGTTTATCAAACTCTAACTGTGAGAGTGGGGTTTTGAGTTCAGGAATCCTGATCAAAAAGTCTTCTCTTTTATCAAGTTGTATGAAATCAGACGTTGGCTAAATAACAGGTGGTAACATTCTAACACATACTACATTTTGGTGCATTATTTCCCCCTTTATTTCAGGTTTACAAGAGGAAAAACGAAGCGGCAAAGAAGGACTACTTGAAGGCGCTGGCCGAGTACAGATCCGGACAGATTTCTCAGGTGAGTGTTTCGTTAAAAAACTAAATGTGTTCATCAACAACCTTATCAACTTATCAACAACCTTATCAACAACCTTATCAACTTATCAACAACCTTATCAACAACCTTATCGTTTCAACAAAAGTTTAAACGATAAGAAAGGACATTTGACACAGCACTAAGGCTGGAGCCACACGAGAAGGGTAACGGTCGTATCCGCTACAGTTCTCTATCATATAGGCCAGTGGTTCTCAAACTTTTTTCAATAATGTACCCCCTTTGAAAAGCAAATTCAGCCAAGTACCCCCTGATCAGCGAAAAAATGTCTCTATAAAGAGGTACAGTACAGTGCTGCACCATCAGTGTCTGATTTATTAAAACAACAACCTTGTTAAACAGCATAAACATATGCTTAATGCTATACTTTGCGGCCACACGCCGAGGCCAAGCAACGCTTATTGTTTAGGTCCTTTGATAAGCAGCCAGTCATATAATTAACTAGAAGCTAGATCTGATAGATTTGGACATAAACGCGAGTGAAGTCTAACCGGACGCGAGAGAGAGAGGGATCAGAGATCAGATCAGCTGCTGCTGAGGGAGAACACGCAGCTCTGCATGATCACAGCTCCGTCCGCTGTGACGGACCGTTGAGCGGAGCAAAATACACTGAGAGTTAGACCTAACACACTTAGCTAGTTTATCTACTCTGGAACAAGCTAAACTAGTTATACATATATTTATTCTTTACTGTCGGGTCACTTATTAGAGGTTCAGCGAGATGCACGAGGCTGACGGGCTGTCTGGAGAGGGAGAGGAAAAGAGAGCACCCCGTTTATTTTTCCCATTTTATTATCCAGAGTTTCTGTAAACTTTTGAATAAAGTAGTTAATCTACTATTAGTAGTTTGTTTAAATGCATTAATTAAGTTTTTTTTTCATTAACATTAAATAAATCTCACGTACCCCCTGCAGTACTCCAACGTACCCCTAGGGGTCCGCGTACCCCCATTTGAGAACCACTGATATAGACGGTTCGGCCACACGAGGCCGACAGGGAAACGCAGATAACAATAACGGGTCCCAAGGTGGGTAGTTCTGTGGACGAAACGCTCTGGGGGGCCAAACGGCTCCGTGTCTACGCCCTGCCTATACGATCATTTTCTGATAACGATGACGCAAGACCCCCGCCTCTTCCCACCTCTCCTGCTCACCCCTGTGTCACCCGCGTCATTGCTGATGTGTTTCGCCAACAACAACAGTTTTCCAAGTGTTTCGAGCCAGGTCCCGGTGTCTCGCAGGACAGTGCACCCAGCAGGTGCCTCCAGCAGACCCCCCCCCCCCCGCACGGCAGAGTTTCCGTTAGCCGAAATCTAAAATTCTCCGGTCAAAATGTCGCTTATTGTTTAGGTGTCCTTTGACACTCAGGCAGTCATATCAATAGCTAGATCTGATCGATATGGACATAAACGCGAGTGAAGTCTAATCGGACAGAGATCAGCTGCTGCTGACGGAGACAAAGAGCCCTGCCTCTCCCCACCTCTGCTGCTAAATCCACCGCGGAGAATAAACAGAAGGGTAACCATGGGAACCATGCTCGGAAGTCTTCTTCACTGCTTTTGGTGTATTTTGTGGCGGAAGTACAGCGCCACTTACAGGCCCGGCGTATGTACTACAGCGTCTCCAGCGGGTCGAGCGATCTCGTGTGGAAGGACACGTTTCTGGTGTCTATTGCGTGTGGGCGGAAGACTTTTTTGATAACAATTTGCGTTACTGTTCTCGTGTGGCTCCAGCCTAAGTTAGACTACATAACAAATTGCTAACACTAGTCGCATGAAAAATGTAAAAACCTGTTTAAACATGATTCTAACTTGGTTGGAGCTTTACAAAAATGTATTTTTGAGACAAGAAAGGAAACAAAAGAAATAGACCCTGAAGATGAAACACAGTTAACTTTTTAAAGATAATGATAGCCTCTTTATTAGCATGTAGTTGGTTTTTGGTTGGTACATTATTCGGCAATTTATCCACATCATATCCAAGATTCTGTAATCCTCATTAGGGTGAGAAGTTATTTTGCAGCGGCAAATGTTCTGTTTAAAAAATGCAGCCAGTCGTTTTTATAAATGTCCCACTTTGTAAAGTCAGGGATGTATTTGTAGGCTTTGTTATGGTTTTAAACCACAGGAACCAATAGAACGTCTTCCTTGTGTCCAACCACCTCTCTTTAGTCCCCTATTGAAGTCATGGACACCTCCTCATCGCCGCCATCACCTCCACCTACAGCGTCTCTCTCCGCCGCTGCCATGGCAACAGCAGCTTCCAGCCTGGCCGCCCGCAACACCCGCTCGCAGCATTACAACCCGGAGGAGAACACCATCACCAACATCTGCACCTCCAACATCATCCTGGACCTCCCTCAGGTCACCACGCGCTCTCGAACCGGTGCTACGAAACCTCCGCCTCCTCGAGCCCCTACGCCCCCTCTGCCCAACCCCCCCACCGTCACTAAGATCATCATCAAGCAGCTGCAGCTTCCTTCAGGTGTGGTTTCTTTTTGTAATATATTTTGTATTGACATTTGGCTGCAAACAATTACACAGGGTTTTTTCAAGACATAGTAATTGTACATCTTAAAGGTCACCTAGTATGCAAAATCCACTTGTTCCTGTCTTTTGGGTGTCTGTTTGGTGTCAGCCAATCAGAGACAGGTTCTGGATATATCTGAGACCTGTGATATATTGATGAAAAACAGTATGATAGGGGATATTTGAAACAAAGTCTTACTCTCTCTCCATGGGCCTTCAGGTGTGGTTTTGACGTCGACCACGGCCCCCCGCCAGCCGCCCCCCCTCCAGCAGATGCAGAGCGCCCCCCCGCCCCCCCGGCTGCAGCTTCACGCCCAGCCGCCTCCACCTCTTCAGGCCAAACCTCGAGCCTCAGCTCCTCCTCCGCTGCAGATCAAGGTGGTGCCGAAGCAGCCGATCATCGTGACGTCGGCGGGGGAGTCGCCGTCCTTTTCGGGTCTGACGGATGAGATGGGGCAGATTGGGGATGATTTGATAACGGAGGGAGAGGAAGGAGAGGAAGTGGCGGAGGAAGGGGTGAGTTCAGCAACACTTTACCTATACATACAGTATATATAAACACACTTATACAGTATATACACACATATACATAGATATAGAAAATGAATAAAATAATACATAAAGTCATCGGTGCCTCCCCATAGGGTCTCAGCCATCATGTAATATCTTTTTAATTTACACACGACATCTAATGCACGTCTGTCCGTCCCTGAGGTTTGGAAGTTTTTCCTTGTCCAGCGTGAGGGTCAGAGGACAGAGGGGTGTCATATTCTGTATAAACTGTGAAGCCCCCTGAGACAAATGAAACATGTGTGATATTGGTCTATACAAATACACTTTGATTGATTTATTGATATCTATTTTCAGATGGAGGTGGAAGTGAACGTAGCCACGGTCCCGAGTGTGCCCCCCCCCTCCAGCCATAACCTCTGTGTTCGCGCCGGCTGCACGAAAGCCGCCGTGGAGAACAAAGACTGGGACCTCGAGTACTGCAGCAACGAGTGTGTCGCCACGCACTGCAGGTGTGTGTGCACCACATCTGAGCCTTCACATGCAAATTAGTGATGTTATGTTCGCGATCGATCCGATTCTTTTGAACGACTCTTTGGTACGAACCAAGGGAACCGAGTCGTACTTGGTGAGAGCCGATCTTTTTACCGTTGGTTCGCTGCCTGCCATAAATCCACTCGCCTTCACAGGAACTTATTGTAAGTCGCTTTGGATAAAAGCGTCAGCTAAATGAAATGTAATGTAACTTGCTTTCCTGAATGCACATTAGCCATATATGATGGTGGCATAACGCATGCTGCTTGAGTAGTGGTTCGGCTGGCTGAGAGATGTTGCAAGTTATACATTTTTCTGTGAGTAAAAGTACATTTCTGGTAATACAGTCAATCATTATCCTGGGCCCAGGAGTGGAGTGCACCAGCTGGGCATAAGCTGGGCGTAACTCTACGTCCGACGTAGAACCGAAGGTTAAGACCAAACTAAAGTTATGACTAGTGCACCACTTAGACTTAAGCCCTGTATGCGTTGCGCCCGGGTGTAACTTTTACGCCTAGTACGGAGCAGGCGTAAATCGGAAAGACAGACTAGTATCCATAGTAACGTAAAACAGGCAAGAAGGATATTAACGATGACAGGGCGTCTTGTTTACATGTTTAACAATGAAAGGGCCTTAAGAAGAGTCTCAATTTCTCCTTCTCCAGCTCAATTTGTTCGTGTTCCGCTCTCAATTTGACGGTCTCCACCTCCACACGAACGATTTCTTTCTCCGTCAGTTCCCGCTGTAGCTCTGACAAATCCCTCTTTCTCTTTCGGGGTGTGGCCATTTGGGATTCCCCTTGAGTCATCGATGACGCTGTGGGTGTGGGAATTCCCTCTTCTCTGCGGTCCTCTGAGTCTGTAAAATGGCGTTGCTTGGCAACAATTACTGTTTCGCGTGTATTCACGTGGACGCGCATCTTAAGACCAGGCGCAGCTACGCCCGAGAGTAGTCAGGCTTGGTGCACTCGGTGTAAATTCGAATCACTACGTCGGACGTAGCTAAGCCCGACGTTAGAGTTAAGCCCTACTTTTTTACGCCCAGCTGGTGCACTCCACTCCAGGAGTTCAAAACTTTTAATCTCAATCAGATCCGATCAGATTTTGAAATCCCATTTTTCGTGATCCAGGATCAGACAAGTCGGCCAGATGTTGTCCCTGGAGTTCAAAGCAATTCAGGATAGGATCAGCCTGGTCCAGATTACGACTTTTCAAGATGACTAGATCCTGAATATCAGTGCTTTAATCCCACCGATCGCCATCTAGTGGACATGAAAAATACTACAAGGAAGACAAGAGACCACATTGCAGACATCTATTGTCCGCAATTACTTTTGAAAGGTGATGACAGATGATGGACTTTTTTTTTGTTGAAGATATTTTTACTTTAATCTAAATTACATTTGTGATTGACAATCTTTGTTGTGATACTTTCATGAGCATAAACATTTATGTCATCAACATTTGGTTGAAAACAAAATAGGCCCCCACAAATGTGACCAAAAAATAAAATGTATTTCCCATGAAGGCTAAAAATGGTGTATTATTTCAGTTAACAAACTTTGCCATCTAATTTAAATTGAAACATATTTTAAAATAAATTGTACAGTACATTTTGCTCTGGTAATCCACTGGAAACCCACCCCTCTGGTGGGATCAGGATAATCCAGTTTTTTGGGATCAAATTGATCCCAATCCTGTGTTGTCGGTTTGAACTACCCGTTTTGAAGATTTGATCCAGATTAAAGCTTGGATTGGATTTCCTGATCTGATCGGATATCAAAGTGATCCTAATCTTGTTTTTTGGTTTTGAACTCCCCAAAAGATAAATCTGATCTGATCAGATAGGGATTAAAAGTTTTGAACTCCTGGGCCTTGGTGATTATTATCAACCCCGCCCCCTTAAAAAAAATCTCTAGCGTAGATATGGCAATGAAATACTTAGGTCACAGGCTCCTCCAACAGTGCAACACATATATATATATATATATATATATATATATATATAGGACATAGAACAAATAAGACAGATAAAATAGTGCAAGTAAATACAAATAAAATAGAAATAGTCGGAGAGGAGTCAAAGACACGGCAGCCATCATCACCGGCGCCTTCTTACACTACAATGCATATTAGTATCAGATTTATTTATTCTGTGTCATGTAAAATAGAAATCCCTGGCTTTATTACTAACTGATAGTGGCGATGGTGGCGAAGTCGATAGGGACTTGGCTTGGCAACTGGAAGGTCACCAGTTCAAGTCCCGGCAAGATCAAGTGCTACCGAGGTGTCCCTGAGCAAGGCACCGTTCCCCACACTGCTCCCCGGGCGCCGTTCAAAATGGCAGCACACTGCTCCTAATGGGTCAAATGCAGAGAAACAATTTCCCCACGAGGGATTAATAAAAGTTCATTTTATCTTGATACAATCCAGGGGAGGGGATTGTTATTTCAAGAAAAAGATTAGTCATAAATCAAAATAAAAAAAATTCGCATTTTATGAGAAAAAACTGATATATTGTGAAACATTCAGTCATTAATTTGGGCGAAAAACTGTCTGAATAGTCCCAATTTATGGCAATGTCTAGTCAAAGTCTGAAATAACAACTATTTCCTCATTGCGAAATCCAAATCCAAGTTTTGTTAGTTTAACCAAGAGATTATTTTTGCAATTTTATCACTTTAATCTCAGAAAATATCCAAAAAGTTGTTTTTTGTGTAAATGTCCTACTTACATCTCTGTATGTTACCCCAGCCCCACAATACTCTCAACAGTTTTCAACTCTGGTTACGAACTCTCCAGACATTGACACCGTGCATATATGTCAGAAATGTATTTCATTTCTTCTTCTCTCCTCCACAGAGATGTGTTCATGGCCTGGTGCGCCATCCGAGGGCAAAACTCCACCACCGTCACATAAGGAGAAGACAGATCTGACTGAGAGAAGTGATACACGGAGAGAGAAAAGGACAAAGAATAACACATGAAATGCAAACGAGCCGAGAGATGAAATGAATGAATGATCAGGCTCAGGTATCGGCACATATCGTCTGTTTTATCAGGCCTCATTGACGACGAGAACCAAAAGGGGTTCTGTCACAGAGGAAGGTATTCGTAAAATCACTACAATATACTTTACTGTAATCGACTCTGCACAAAAAGCCGTGGAGCAGAAAAGCAACTCTTGGAAACACTGCAGTGGGAATGTCGGATCACAATAAGGACGTTACGCTGAAGAAAAAGCAGAAGAAGAAGAAACTTCCAATTCATCATCTGTTGTGAATCTCAAGTATGGACTTGATATAGAAAACGTTTTATATGAAATAATGTTATTAATTGTTTTGAAAGGAGAAAAAAGTGCAGAAAGGAAATCATGAATTTTTTAGTTTAATTATTTTACAGACTTCCACTTCATATGTGTACGCTCTTCCCTTTACTGTTACAATGAGGATCAACTGAAGTGAATGTAATCTAAATGTTTCATTGATCTTCGGTGATGTGCTTTTGGCGCCGACTGGTTTTACGCACAAACCAGCAACAACTGGGCAAAGCACAAACAATATTTAAATGTCATTCAAAGGGTTACATGTTTGTAATTTTGTGACTACGTGGAAATAAACCTGCCACTGCGGGTTTGTCACCTTTTTAATAAGCCACCCTTTGAGGGAAATAAACTACAATCATGTGAACGGTGTCTATTCAAACAGGTGCTCAAATTCAGTAGAAAATGTGACTCTAGCATTTTCTGTTTGCAATACCCTAAAAGAGATCTTTTTGTGGTGCAAATTGGTTTTAATGAGAATCATTTGCGGTGACATTTAATTGAATCTTGGATTGAAATAAACTCGCCAGCTCTGACAACGCTACTGTAAGGGGGAAAGGGAATACTACATGAAGACGATTTACTTTTTAACATTACAGTGTTTAATTTAAGAAATCTGATTTCAGGTCTGAATAATTAAGGAAGGAAATGGTTGCTTCCAGAAAAAATAAAACTGTTTCCAGTCGGATGAAAATTCAGAAATCTGTTCTGGTTTATTGTAGATATCCTGGAAATGTTTTTAATGATGAAATAAAAAATATTTTATGTTTTAATATACTCCTGGTGATGCACTTTTTGGTTTCAGGATGACAGCTGGATTTGCATTTAGTTGGGTTCTTGTGCAAAGATGTATTTTGGTAAACCTAGCATGGTAAATTCAGAAAATGAGTTATTTGAAAACACTGTAAAGGGGATCTACAATAATTTAGGAATAAGACAGACGAGGTTGCGTTTAGGAATGCTTAAGAGTGAATGGACAGATAAAGGCAAAACTCACAAAGATATGTAACCACACCTAACGGAACAGAAGATAGCACTGATACTGTAGATACTTACATACAGATAGCTAACAGAAATAGCCCCTAATGCTCATTACATGCTAGCAGGTCAAGCCATGCCTGCTTCTCTTCTCCCTACAGGCAACATAAAAACATGGGTATCGTTTGAAATTTATCGATTCCGATTCCGGTTCTTATCGATTCCCTGTTTCGATTCCAAAATTGTAAAAGAAAGAGGTCAAACGTTTAGATAACAAAAATATCTTTATTCTTTTAAGCTTTAACTGACATTTTTACAAATAAAAAATATAGGCCTGCATGCAATACAAATGTATTGCACAATAGCTGTGCTTTATTTTAACTGAGCTATGCCTGTGGCAAGCTATTGACAGGCATTACACTGTGCCTTGTCTTTTTCTTTTTTAGTGTAGTGGAGCCTCACTTTAGAGCGTTTACCGCGATCCATCTGTGGTGTTATGAAGTGACTGAGCTCGTGAACTGTCTACTGAGGGCGGGGGGAGCCTCGCTGCGGGGCAACTGTGGACCTCTGTCGCCTGTCAGCGCAACTTACATGATGCCGTTTCAAAAAATGAAGGGCGGTGCCGGCCGTTCTGTGATTCTCCAGAACACACAGATGGCCAGTCCGCCCTTACCCTGTATTCCACCGGGTCACCGCTGCGCAGACAGACCCGGTGGGATACAGGGTCTACCGCGTTTAGGAACCGTTAAGCAGAACTGAAATTGTGCATCTTGTATGGGTACCCGGTACCTGGCATTTTCTTATCGGTTCTCATCTGGAACCGAGTTTTCGGTTTCGGTGATTGGCTAATTGTTACACAAGCCAAAAAATCGTTATGACATCATAAAGTGGCCAAAATCTGATCAGCTCATTTTCAGACAGGTTTTTATATAAATGGATCAGGACAAAAAGAGAGAGAATCTTTGTTCCTGAAACTTTCAGAATCTCTTTCCACAGAGGGGACACATGGTGATGTAGAAGAGACATGAAGAAGAGGGGACACATGTTGATGGAGAGGAGAAGTGAACAAGTGGATTTTGCATAATAGGCAACCTTGAAGGTTTCATGTTGGAGCTCAACCTGGGTAAATGGCAAGTGGATCTAGCAGAATTAGGAATAACTGTATTGATTGGCATAACAGAAATGGGAACGATTATATTATGTATTCTAATAAGGATCTATGTCTAACCCTTTCAATATTTAGAGTCGGACTTGGGACGCCTAGAGTAAACACCAAATGTTGAACTCAAAAGGTAAACACGAGTTAGCAGTTTTGGAATGGTCAAGACCATCCTGACCTTATTAAACAAATACAAAAAAAACATCTAGTGATTTAAGCCAATGCCTAAACGAGACGTGGGTCGAAGGAAGTATTCATAAGTACAGTGAAGTACAAACAGTATATGAAGAACTGAACACATTGAGGACCGCCATGATGGAAGAAATTGACACCTTGTTCACTTCCACATTTCTTGACACCCTCTCTCAGGAAATGGAGAGTCTGGGGGTCGTCAACCAGTCAGAGGGAAATGCTTTGTTGGGGTCTTCACTGGAAATGGGAAGGAGTACGGAAACATTTAGTCAAACACTTAATCCCATCGGCTCTCCGTTCAGCAGTTCGTCCGCGGTCAACATCGATGTCCCATTGGGTGACGTCCAGCTGACCACTATAGACGTGTCAGACCTCAGATCCCAACTGGGGATTGGTTTAGGAGTCTGGAACATTAATCCACAACCACACTCGCACCAAAACCCTCTGTCGGACACGGCATCGCCCAACAGCTCGCTCCAGAATGACGAAACGGATGACTGTCTAACGGTGAGTTTTAAAACCCTTTTTTTTAATAATCACTTAACCCAAGCAAATTGATAATCTGATAATGGTTGAATATGATTATGTATGTATTTCAACAAGCACCATGCGTACAAATACATTAATCTCAGAAAAGAGAAGAGATGAATTATGCCAGATTTGAGCTAACAGCCAATTTCCATCTGCAGTCCTTAGGTACATAACAATCAACAAACTGATCTGATCTATACCCACCACATACTATACTAAATTATGCGTAAATGCTACACCAATCAATATCTGGAAGGGTTGAATAAAGGAAATGATTTGTGAAAACGGTTTTTAATATGCATTGTTCCCCCTGTCCGATCAGAGCTTCCTGGTTGAGTCTCCGGTTTCTAGCACTGTCTCTCCTGGAGTATCTTCCCTCTACCCATCCTTTTCCGAGTCCCCGCTCTCTGCCCCCATATCTAGCATCACTTCAATTGTCGGGCGGAAAGAAGGCGCAGGACGAAAGAAGCGGAAGAAGAAGAAGAAAGACCCCAACGAGCCTCGGAAGCCTGTGTCGGCCTACACTCTTTTCTTCAAGGACTCTCGGGCCGCTATCAAAAGACAAAACCCCAAAGCTACCTTTGGAGAAGTTTCTAAGATAGTGGCCTCCATGTGGGACAGTCTGGGGGAGGATCAGAAACAGGTGAGAGGAAATTCCTTCAACTTCAATTGTGCTCATAGCTGTTTAACTTTACCCATCAGTCCATCTTTCTAGCTGTTGAAGGGGTCATTTGTGTTCACTGTGAACACTGTACCTCCAACGGTGTGCTTCAGTTCAGGATCAATGGACTAAGATGTTCTGACCTGGAAGTATAAAGATGTCTTTAAAAGTATTTGTGGCAGACCAAATAACATTTGTAAAGATTAATTGCATGCCTGATTTCAGTGCATAATGTCCCCCTTTTTTCAGGTTTACAAGAGGAAAAACGAAGCAGCAAAGAAGGATTACTTGAAGGTGCTGACAGAGTACAGAGCCGGACAGATTTCTCAGGTGAGGTGCAAGTATTTTGTTTACAAAAACTATGACTTGATATATTCGTCAACAACCTTTTTCTCCATGACTCCATTGCAATTAGATGTTGTCAAGGTTGAGCTCCAAGGTGTCTGCAGACATTCACTGATAGATGTCAGCCAGACAAGCAGAGATTCATGCAGCCAACTGGGTTTTAGACCAGAATCATTTCAATGTGATCTGTGTAGCCGTGTTATGAAAAGCCATGATAATTAGTTTACGGAGAAAAGAGGAGGGGACCCAGGATGGGACCCTGAGGCACTCATGAGTCATTTAGTTGGAGTTAAAGAAGCGTTCAAGTTAGAGCATTCTCTGTTGAGTATGAGTCAAGAGCAAGGAAGTCAGTCAGTCCAGTGACTGTAATGATTGAGGACCAAATATCAAGCACTTCTGCATGGTAAATTACGTTTTGCTGCCTGATACCCTTACCAATGTTTATCAGTCAAATTAGTCCACCATATCTGTTCGGTTAGTGTGTTAGCTTGGTTGTTAATGGTTGCGTGATGTTGTGTCCTCTCCATCCATCCTCTCATCAGGTCCCTACTGAAGTCACCCCCTCATCTCCACCTACAGCATCTTCAACTTTCATAGCAACATCAGCCTCCAACCACATCGACCAGACCACCAGGCCCCAGCAATACAACCCTGAGGAGAACACCATCACCAACATCTGCACCTCCAACATCATCCTAGACGTGCCTCAGGTCACAACGCGCTCACGCACTGGGGCTATCAAACCCCAACCTCCACCCTTTACCACCCCTCTGCCGAACCACCCAACCATCACCAAGATCATCATTAAGCAGATGAAGCTTCCTTCAGGTGTTGTGTGGATGACCGGCGCCTCACCAAGCCAACTGCCGCCACATCGGATAATGAAGATCAACCCTCTTAAGTCGAAGGTGCAGCAGATGATGCACGTTCAGGCGCCTCCATCTCTGCAGGCAGAACCACAAGTTTCCACTTCCACTATTCTGACTCCGCTGCAGATCAAGGTGGTCCCAATGTCGAAGCAGCCAATCATTGAGACCTCAGCAAGTGAATCGCCTACTTTGGGTTTGACTGTCCAGGTTGGACAGTTGGCTGGAGAGGCGGTAGTGGAGGCAGAAGACGGGGTAAGCTCAGCAGCAGAGATGCTTGTTTCTATCTTCCCGATCATACATCTGTTGCATTAAATGTCTTAAAGGTCACCTATTATGCAAAATCCCCTTTTTCATGTCTCTTCTACATCAACATGTGTCCCCTCTTCTCCATGTCTCTTCTACATCAACATGTGTCCCCTCTTCTCCATGTCTCTTCTACATCAACATGTGTCCCCTCTTCTTCATGTCTCTTCTACATCAACATGTGTCCCCTCTTCTTCATGTCTCTTCTACATCAACATGTGTCCCCTCTTCTTCATGTCTCTTCTACATCCACATCTGTCCCCTCTTCTTCATGTCTCTTCTACATCAACATGTGTCCCCTCTTCTTCATGTCTCTTCTACATCAACATGTGTCCCCTCTTCTTCATGTCTCTTCTACATCAACATGTGTCCCCTCTTCTTCATGTCTCTTCTACATCAACATGTGTCCCCTCTTCTTCATGTCTCTTCTACATCCACATGTGTCCCCTCTTCTTCATGTCTCTTCTACATCAACATGTGTCCCCTCTTCTTCATGTCTCTTCTACATCAACATGTGTCCCCTCTGTGGAAAGAGACCCTGAAAGTTTCAGGAACAAAGATTCTCTCTCTTTTTGTCCTGATCCATTTCTATAAAAACCTGTCTGAAAATGAGCTGATCAGATTTTGGCCACTTTATGATGTCATAACGATTTTTTGGCATTAGCCAATCACCAACCAAGGTAACCCCCCCCACCTTATCACCTGAATATACTCCTAGAGCACCATTGAGTTCTTTGTA